GATTGTAGCACGGACAAGACCATAACACAAACACCATAAGCACTTGTCTTCCTAAACAACACTCCTATGACACATTAAGACCACTGCATTCTCCGAAACTACATTTAACAGGTCCTAACTTTTCCAGGAGACCCAACAATTAAATTGTAGAAGAATAGAGTTTGGGGGCAATTGGCCACACCTCAATGTGAGGGGGCGCCTTCTATTATATGGCCGGCTGGCCTTGCTTTACAAGGCAGGGGGTAATCTCCCTGATTTACATTTGCTAATTACCTGATTTACAGCTGCTAATTATGGCTATGATATCCATAATTAGCAGGGGATATTCTATTTCCTAACACCCGCCCGCAGTCGCAGCGGGAGGCTCCCGGACGCAAAGACTGGATCGAAAGTCTAGAAACAATGCCGTCGGAAGCCCTTTAGTCATGATGTCGGCGAACTGATGAGAAGAGGGCACATGGAGTACCCGAATCGCACCAAGGGCCACCTTCTCGCGGACGAAGTGTATGTCGATCTCGATGTGCTTCGTTTGCTTGTGGTGGACGGGATTGGCCGTCATGTAGATTGCGCTGACATTGTCACAGAAGACAACAGTGGCAGAGGGTAGCTGTAGGTGGAGCTCCTGGAGGAGCTGTCGGAGCCAACAGCATTCGGCCACCACATGGGCCACAGCACGATACTCCGCCTCGGCGCTGGAACGTGACACTGTGGTTTGGCGTTTGGAGGACCAGGAGACCAGAGTGTCACCGAGGTATACACAGTAGCCGGAGGTAGAGCGTCGGGAGTCAGGACAGCCTGCCCAGTCGGCGTCGGAGTAAGCCGTCAGCTTGTCAACGGGCCCGGCGCCGATGTGTAGACCCGAGGAGAGGGTGCCCTTCACATAGCGCAGGATGCGTTTGATCAGCGCACGGTGCGGCTCTCGGGGAGCGTGCATGAAGAGACACACCTGCTGGACAGCATAAGCCACTCAGGACGAGTTAGAGTGTAGTCTCGAGCGCCCGGCCAGCTCCCCCGCATACTCGGGCGCCCTTCTCAGCGGGAGTTCCCGTTATGTGCGGAGAGCTTGGCCTGAGTGTCAACAGGTGTCGCCGTAGGATGACACTCAGCCATGCCCGCACGTTGAAGGAGATCGACGGCGTACTGGCGCTGAGACAGGAATAGGCCGTCGGAGGAGCGTGTGACGGCGATGCCGAGGAAGTGATGAAGCTTGCCAAGATCCGTCATGGCGAACTCGAGCTCAGCTGGGCCGTGATGCTCTGAAGGAGAGCTGTGGATGAGGCGGTGAGGACGATGTCGTCGACGACGTGACAGCGAGAGGTAGGCGAGTCGCCCCCTCTTGGAGAACAAAGAGGATGCGCTTCGGGCGGAGGCGACAAAGCCGAGCCACCGGACGAAGGTGGAGAAGCACTGTGCCAAAGCCAGCGAGCTCGCTTGATCCGTGCATAAGGACTTTTGCAGAGGCGAACATCGCCGGGGCGCCAGGTCGACAAAGCCTCGTGGTCTGCTGGCGAGATGAGCGATCTCCTCGAGATGACCGTGAAGGAAAGCATTCTTCACGTCCAACTGGTGGATCGGCCAGGCGCGAGATGCGGCGATGCTGAGGATGGTCCGAATGGTGGCCGGTTTGACCACCGGGCTGAAGGTCTCGTCGTAGTCGATGCCCTCGCTGTTGAGAAGAAGCCGCGGCCACCCAAATGAGCCTTGTGGCGGTGCAAGAGATCCATCGGCATGGAACTTGTGTCGGAAGAGCCATTTTCCCGTCACGATGTTGGCACCGGGGGGACGCGGGACGAGTTGCCAGGTGTTGTTGTTGACAAGAGCCTGGTACTCATCCGTCATCGCTGCGCGCCAGTTGGCATCGGCCAACGCGCTGCGATAGTTCGTCGGGAGAGGCGAGGTCGAGGATGATGTGGCCGTCAGCCCTTCATAGCTGACGCGAGGGATGACACCAGTCATGGTGCGCGTGACCCGCAGCGGAGGTGGCGGTGGTGGTGCTGTCGAAGGCGCGGGTGGCGCCGGTGCAACCGGAGGCGCCGGGGCAGCCGGTGACGGGGCAGGGGCGGACGCCGCGCGGGGGCGTCGGACGTAGACCCGTGGAAAGGGAACCACAGGAGGGCGCCCGCCCGGTGCCGGAGAAGCTGATCCGGCTGCTGGTGATGTAGGTGCGGCGTCGGTGTGCGGCTGCTCGACATCCGAGATGGATGGAGCGACCACGGGTGTCGAGGGAGGAGTTCCACCTGCAATAACAGTAGGACAGGGCACCGAAACCATATCGTCGTCTAAGAGGAAATCTAGGGAGGTGGGGGATGGGGCGTCTGGGGTTGCTGTAAAGGGAAACGTGGACTCGTCGAAGATGACATGACGGGAGATGATTATGCGACGGGTCGAGAGGTCGAGGCAGCGGTACCCTTTGTGAGAGGGTGGATATCCAAGGAAGACGCATGCCGCGGAGCGAGGTGCGAGCTTGTGTTTGGAAGTGGCCTGCAGATTTGGGTAACAGAGGCACCCAAAGACACGCATATGGTTGTAGGTGGGTGGCTGTTTGTGCAGGCGAGTGAAGGGAACGTCATGCTGGATGGAGGAGGATGGACGTCGGTTAAGTAGGTAGCATGCTGTCAGGAGGGCCTCGGCCCAGTAGGTGGGTGGCAGGGAGGCATGGAGGAGCATGGTGCGAACGGAATTATTAAGGGTGCGGATTATACGTTCGGCCTTGCCGTTTTGGGGGGATGTGTAGGGGCAGGAGAGGCGGAGGTCAGTGCCGCGAGCGGCAAGGAATTGGGTGGTGGTGGTGTTAAGGAATTTAGTGCCATTATCAGCCTGAACACATTTGATAGGTAGGCTGAACTGAGTTTGGGCGAGGGCAGCAAGCTCAACTAAATGTTGGTGAACATCGGACTTTTTGCGGAGAGGAAAAACCTAACAAAAATTACTGTAATCATCCAGACACACCAAATAGTAGGAAAAACCAGACAGACTGTTGATAGGTGATGTCCATACATCACAGTGAACGAGTTCAAAGGGCGCATGAGTTGTGGAATGCGAAGAACTGAAAGGTAGACGTGTGTGCTTGCCTAACTGACATGAATGGCAAAGGGAGCGATCTCTGTTTTACAGGCAACAGCATGAATTTTATTAAGGTGCGCTAAAGGCAAGAAAAGTTGGATGACCGAGACGTTGATGCCATAGGGTCGACGGCGAAGCAAGAGAGGCGGCAGGGGGTGGAGATGGGCATGGTGTAGAGGTCCCCGTCATTTAGCATAAATGAGAGTCACGCGTCCCGCTTCGGAGATCCTTGATAGAAAAACCATGAGCGCCAAATTCAAATGAATGCAGATTATTGTCGCGAGTGAATTGACGAACGAGAGCAAAAGTTACTGAACTATAGATGGTGCGACAAGGATATTTTTAAGAATAAAATTAGATGTGGGAGTGGGTAGGGCGGAGTGACCTCTAGACGGATCGGAATGGTAGTGCCATTACCTACCACATTATTGAGGAGATGGAAGGGGTAGGTGCCGGGTAATCATACCATCCGAGGACGCTCATATGTGTTGAGGCGCCGGAATCGACGACCCCAGGTGAGTTGCCCCTGCATGTTCATGGCCTGTGTAGGGTGGCGATGAGGCCGATCGCATCCTGTGGAGCTGCTGGAGTTGCTTGGAGGTTGCCGCAGGAGCGAAGGCAGTGTGTGCCTCGGGAGCAGCCCGAGGAGAACCCTGGCTGGCGCCCAGATCCAGGCGTTGGGGCCACCAGACCCTTGAAGCCACTATGGCGGCGTTGTCCAGAGAGGGATGACCCGCTCACCAAGAGCCACGCGTTCGCCCGGTCCAGGGTTAAAGCCCTGTGGTCGGCGCCGGTTGGGGTTGTGGCCGCCCAGGTGGAGGGCTGCCGCCCTTCTTCTTGTTAGGGGCGGTTGTCCTGCTTGTTGCTGCTGCTGGCCACCAGCAGGAAAGGAGGCAGCAGATGAAGAGCGCCGAGGCAGCACGTACCTTCTCGTCATTCTGCAGCCGCAGCTCCTTGAGGAGAAGCTGATGGCGAGCGGAGGAGAAGGTGAGGGGCTGTTGCCCGGCGATGTTGTCGGCGACCGTAGAGTAGACCTCGTTGAGGCCGCGCAGAAGGTTGAGGACGAGGGTGCTCTCGAGGACGGTCTGGCCAACGTCACGCAGTTCGTCGGCCTTCACCTTCATGCGGACGCAGTAGTCGTCGATGGAGGAATCCCCTTGAATCATCGAGTGGAACTCGTGATTGAGGAAGATGGCACGAGGCGCTTTGTTCGCCTGGAACACGTCGTCGATGGCCTGCCACAGCGCGCATGCCGTCTGCTGAGTGTTGGTCATGGCGAGGTTGAGGACTGAGTCGGAGGCGGTGCTATACATCCATCCGCGGACGCAGAAGTCAGCCTGCTGCCATGCTTCGTCGGTGGGGCGCGCAGGGGAGGCGGTGTCGAGGTGTTGCAGCAGGCCAAACTTCCCGCACATGGCGCGGAAAGCCATCGACCACTTGGTGAAGTTGGAGGGCTTCAACTCGAGGACCATGGGGACGTGCAGCTTGACATTGATAGTGGCGAAGGGGCAGATGGTCGGGGCAGAAGTAGCCCCTAGGGTGCCGCTGGTGGCAGAGGTGAAGTCTGAGGCAGTTCCCATGGGAAGAGAAGGAGGAGAGGCGGCGTGGGAGGTGGGAAATCAGATCAAGGCCCGGTTCTCTGATACCATGTAGAAGAATAGAGTTTGGGGGCAATTGGCCACACCTCAATGTGAGGGGGCGCCTTCTATTATATGGCCGGCTGGCCTTGCTTTACAAGGCAGGGGGTAATCTCCCTGATTTACATTTGCTAATTACCTGATTTACAGCTGCTAATTATGGCTATGATATCCATAATTAGCAGGGGATATTCTATTTCCTAACATAAACATATATGTACAAAGGAGTGTTGCAGGCAGTTGGCGGAATACTAAAGGGGAGACATACAAGGTCAATGTAAGGTGTAGACATTACCAGAGCTATGGATGAAAGTAAGGGTCCTCCTTGTTCTGGTAAATTGCAAAAAGTTGTTTTGAGTAGTGTGAAGCCACCTTGCGACAGAACTCAAAAGCATAACGATCATACTCGTCCAAATCTGAGACGGTCTTCTTCAGTGGACCAACCCGATCACCATCCAAAAGAAATTCTGCTATGCGAGATCCCCTATATGAACAGTAGAGTGCAATCAACTATCAGCAGACTGAGAACACCAACTTCCCTTAGTGCTCATCTTTTCATTCTACTTTACTACGAAATACTACAGAGGAGTTAAATAAAATACAAGCATATCGTGCAAGTTACTTAGCACTGAAATTTCCTCTCAACCTAAACTGTTTAGCTGAACAAAAATCATAACCGGTTTTTTTAGCATTGCGTTCAAGAAACTTAACAAAAAACACCTTTTTTTGTTAATTAACACTGTCTACGAAATGTTTGTTAATAATCAAGTGCAGAGCTAGTAAGCTAATTCAATATTGATTCCTAACAAGAAATGTCGACACATTTAGAAATTCAATCTAGATAATGTACCTTCCTAGGAACCTACGGTAACAAATACATGTATACAGGAAAGTTCCTACTATGCTCAAATTCAAGCTGCTTCAAACAGCACCGCCTTACTTCTTATTTGCGAGCAATGAATCTGCTATTAACTGTGCAAAAAACCAATGAGATGCATATAAACATACCTTGGGGCATCTTTGTTGCTAAATCCCTGCTTATTATGAACTAAAGAGGCCTTTTCCACCTGTTCATCCTCAGTTTACTTCCGGTAGATGGCACAAACAGCCTTCAAGCAAAGCTCAGGATGTTCACCAAATGCTGCTAGCATATCTGCCTCATAATCCCACTCTTTAGCTTTCTTTTTACGGCCAATGCAAGCCATAACATCTTTATAGTCCACCTCACCATCAGACATTTCTAGTCCTGGAGAGGATTTTTCATTCAGAACAGATGGTTCATCTGATTCGTCACAGGATTCCTCCATGAGAATCACTAGCATTATCAGAAGAACCATCATTTATGAACTCATTCATATCATCGCCTTTCTTCCATATCATCTTCACTCCCTTCAACATCCTTGGGTGGTTCAACAAAGTGGAGCCCCGGACATGCAGCTCTTCGCCCTTTTGACTGATTCTTTACCAACCAAACAGAACGCCTAGATGCAGGAGCGGAATGCCCTTTGGCCACATCAGATTCATCGCTTTCCTCACTCGTCCTCTCTTCTGGCATCCTCTTGCATGATTTATCGATGGGAACCATATCATCCTCCTCGTCCCCGCTCTCAGTCTGAGGCGCAGCTATGCCCTCATCGCCATCCTCATCCTCACTGTCACTGACTCCACGAAACACGCGGTCGGATTTTGACTGTTTCTTAACCAACCGAGCAGAACGCCTCGTCGCAGGAGCGGAATGACCTTTGGCCTCGTATGATTCATCACCATCCTCACTCGCCCTCTCTTTTGGCATCCTCTTGAGCAATTTATAGATGGGAACCATATTATCCTCCTCCTTGTGCCCACTCTCAGCCTGAGGCGCAGCTATTTCCTCATTGCCATCCTCATCCTCACTGTCACTGACTCCACGGAACACGCGGTCGGATTTTGAATGATTCTTCACCAACCGAGCAGAACGCCTCGTCGCGGGAGCGGAATGCCCTTTGGCCTCATCCGATTCATCATCGTCCTCACTACGCACCCTCTTAACCAACCGAGCAGAACGCCTCGTTGCAGGAGGGCATGCCTCATCCGATTCATCATCATCCTCACTAGGCACCCTCTTGAGCAATTCATAGATGGGAACCATATCAACCACATCCTCCTTGTGCCCACTCTCAGCCTGAGGCGCAGCTATTCCCTCATTGCCATCCTCATCCTCACTGTCACTGACTCCACGGAACACGCGGTTGGATTTTGACTGATTCTTAACCAACCGAGCAGAACGCCTCGTCACGGGAGCGGAATGCCCTTTGGCCTCATCCGATTCATCATCATCCTCACTAGGAACCCTCTTAACCAACTGAGAAGAACACCTCGTCACGGGAGCGGAATCCCCTTTGTCCTCATCCGATTCATCACCGTCCCCACTAGGCCCCCTCCTCTTGAGCAATTCATAGATGGGAACCATATCATGCACATCCTCCTCCCCACTCCCAACCTGATGCGGAGCTACGCCCTCATCGCCATCCTCATCCTCACTGTCACTGACTCGGCGAAAGGCGCGCTTCCTGCTGCTCATGAGGCCCTCCTGATCGTCACCGTCATCCTTGCCACTCCCAAGCCCATCCACATCACCACCACCATCATCCTCGCTATCACTGGTGACCACCCGCGTCGCCGCCGCCCCACGGCCACGCTTCTTACCCCGCGGCGTGACCGAAACATCGTCATCCTCCAGACCCGCGCTGCTCTCCCTGTTGCTTCCGCCGCCTCCCTCCGCGTCCTCCGCATCGGCTTCGCCCACGCCCTCCTCCGGGCTTCCCCCTTTGTTGGCACCGACAGCAGCAGCGCCCTCCTCGTCGTCGCTGACCTCAATTGCGTCGCGGGCCACGCCCCCGCCCCGCTTATCGACCACCTCGTGCTTGATTCCGCGTAGAACTGGCGCCAATCGACGAGAGATTGGGTCCTCCTCCTCGCCTGTACTGCCCGTTGCTTCTCGCCTCGCCACCGACAGGGCCTCCCTCAAACCCGCGTTCTCGGTTTCGAGGGCCGAGATCCTGGCCTCCAGCTCGGCAACGCGAGAGGACTTGGCGACGAGCTCGGCGTAGAGGGACGGGAGCTTCGACGCGGCGTCCATCTCCCGCGGCCGACGCGTCGCCGAAAACCTTGTTGGGGTTGGGGAGAAGTGGAAGTGGAGGATGTCGGTGGAACGGAACCGGAAGGAAGATGGAGCCTGCCTCTGCTTCTCGATTGCGACGGGAGTTGGCAACGGGGTTTACTTTTTTTTTTTTTTTTTTTGAGGAAAGCAACGGGGTTTACATTTTTTTTTCGGCGATTTTAGCGCCCCGACGACGTCTGGCGCGCGAGGGCGTGCCCGCCTCCCGCGTGGAATAGAACGAACCCCACACCCCCGCGTATAGAACGGAAACCGTCCCTGTCCTCCTCGCCCTGTCCTCGATCCCCAACGCACCCCGTTCCTGCACCTTGTCCCTGTCTAAAAGAGCATGAAACATTTCAAATACAATATTACAAAACATATAAAAAATTATATAGTGCAACATCATAAAAATATATAGTGCAACATTGAAAAACATGCACTGCAACATCGAAAAATATGTACTGCAATAACGAAAAATATGTACTACGACATCCCAAAAAAGTATTGCAACGTCGAAAAACATGTACTGCAGCATAAAAAAATATGTGCTGCAACATCTAAAGCAGCAGTACTGTATCATCGCAAAAACATCTGTTGCAACCACCCAAAAATTCCATTGCAACATTCCAAAGTCATCCGTTGTAACGTAAAAAAACTCATTGCAACACGGGAGAAACAGCAAAAAAGCGTAAAAAAAAGCCCCTGGCCCATCACCTTCGAGCTCGCCGGAGTAAGGAGGGAATAGGACCCAGAGCTCTCCGGAACCTAGCCACCGCCGCGTCCCTCAGATCCAGAGGAGGAGGAGGAGGAGAGCTCACATTTAGAGGAGGAGGAGGAGGGTTCAGATCCAGAGAAGGACCGACCTACCTCGTCGAAGCCGCCGCCATCGTCCTCGTCTCCGGTGGGGGTCACATGGTGGTCACGGAGGGAGAGAGGGTGGAAGGAAGGGGTGGCAGCGACTTGGTGCGCGAGCGCGGTGTCCGTGGGGGTGGCACGGAGAACGACACACGGACGCGGCAGCGAGTGGGTGCGAAGGAGTAGGGGGAGAGCGGGCGAGCGGAGCGAGTGAGTGGGCACGGAGGGTCATGGGATGAATGGGATAAGGAGTCGGTGGACACGCTCGGTCGAGTCATCAGTGTGCGAGTCCATCCGGACGAGACGGGCGCTCGCACAATATCATTGTTATTTTTTTTTATTTGAGGATGGAGGGATGTAGCCTGCCAGCGAGTTGGGCCTTAAGGAACAGGCCCACTCTTTGCACTGTAATGGGCCATATTTTCCTCAGCTTCCAAAGATTCCGGCAGCCTTCGGCCCGAAGAAATCAGTGTTGAGAACCAGGTAAATAAACCACCAAAGCTAAAAAAAAAAGTAAATAAACCCCCACTAAACGTAAGCTGTACGTACGATTAATATGACTTGTTCCCCACATTCTAAATTATATAAATTGTACAAGTAGTTCACATTTTAAACTTCTCTAATTTTAACCATGTTTTTTGGAAAATATATTAGCATGTAAAGATTCAAATAAATGCACACACATATTTCATGGATAGTTTAATGAAGCTAATTTGAAATTGTAGATGTCGATATATTTTTCTATAAACTTAGCATTTAGCAAAGCTAGAGAAGTTTGACTACGGACAAATTTAAAACTAAACTATAATTTAGAATGGAGAGGGTAGTGACTAAATTTATAGAAAAGTGAATAAACACCTAAACCGGCTTGGCTGACCGGCCGGCCTTGTGAACCCAAGACCGGAGCAGTTGTTTTGATTTGCGTTCTTTTTTGGAATGTAAATTTGAACAAAATATTCGAAACCTTTTAGAAACATTATAGTTCTCTTGTGTTCATGCAAGGATAGTTTTTCTTCATTTGAAATTATGCAACTGGCACTCAATTTGAGGGCTCTTTCGAACAACTCATACGTGAATCTCGGTAGCATGAAAAACATATGAAAAATGAGTTTGATGGCTTGCGAAATCCTATCCTACGAAATAAAAAAACATAAATTGTTGATCACCAAAAGTTCTTTTTTTTTTATGAGTCTACAAACACTCGTATACATGCACACGTGTAAGGTCCTACGAACACATTCAGACATGCATGTTCGAGACATCGGGCCAGTACATTTCAAGATTGACAAATCATAAACCATGGGACAACGCTTCAATTCTACCATCCAATTCCACTCGTACTCGTAAGAATTTGCCCTTTCAAAAGCTTTCCTTCCTTTTCTCAAAAAAAAAAAAGAGTTAGTGCTAAACCACTTCTTCAGGGTGTACTACACGCTACTTCCCCGGCCACATGTTCAGTCAGGCGGTTTGGATATAGTCACCATCCTGAGTGCTACTGCAACACACCAGCAGCACAGCTGAGCAGCAGGGCAGCTAATGGTGCCAAAAGGGCTGGGTGTCCAACCGTAGTTAACGCCAGTGCGCGCCAGAGACTGAACTACTGAAGGCAAGCTCATCTCCACAGCTTGACATACTTGTCATGGCTTGTGGAAGCAACCAGGCCAGAGCTTGACGAGGCCAAGGCTGAGACGAGGCTGTCGTGCGCTGCAATGGTCATGCTCCGGTTCTCAGACATGTCCCACAGCTCCTGAGACTGCATTCAGCACAGGACCACGAGTAAGATACCTCAGAGATTAATAGAGGGTGTAGAAAAAATAGCAGTTGCAGTCATCATGGAATTGTGCTAAACTATTAACTCGTATGTACGTATGTATCACTTCATGTCCTACAACAGCTGCAACATGTTGATATTTGTGACACTTCGTACGTACCACTTCTGTTAGAAGATGGGCATTTTTCAATAATTCTATCCTCTACTAAAAGTAGAACTAGCGCTTGTACATAAACACCCCTTTATCCCTATCTTAATTGAAGGCAGAGCTCCTGTTAAAGCTTTCAAAAAAAGGTGGAACTAGCAGCAGCTGAAATCTACATATTGAATAGTTCAAATTCAGTGTATGAAGTTGAAAACCACCATTTGACGACAGGCACCCTAGGTTCATGCAATCTAGTTTTGGAATGAACTGTGAGTAAAGACATGCAAGGGAAAGTAACCTGCCTGGTAACAGCCAATGATAAGCAAGGATGGATATGTAGGATGGAAAGTACATGAAGTGAACTTTCTCCCGCCGCAGTTAAGATCATTCACAAAGCTATCATCATTGAAAGACCACACCTTCACTGTGTCCTCACTGACAGACACCACATATTCGCCAGTGGGATCCCAGCACACGGAATCAACATCCTTAGGCGTCGTTCGTTTTTTCCGGATTGGCCCATTCTGGGTGTATTGCTGCGGCCTATTTTCAATCCGGATGGGAACTAGAATGTGCGTTAGTTTCGGGCGGGCCTGAACCTGGCCCGGAACCAAAACTGTCTTCTCTTTTCCCTATCTCCACGGCCCGGAACGGAACCAGACCTCCTACCCTCCGGATTGGTGCCGGCTCCTTGTCTCCACGACGCGAGCACACGACGACACAACAGCGGTGACGGTGGGGCGGCGTGGGGCGACCGCGGGGCAGCGCGAGGCGACCGCGACCCTACATCCTCCCCCTTCCTCGTCCTTCTCGCCGGTGATTCCCTTGCTCTCCCCTTCGTCCTCGCCCTCTCTCCCTCCTCTAGGGTTCTTGGATCTTGTCTCTAGTTCTAGTTGAGAGTCCTGGTAGTAGGATGGTGGTGATGATGATGATCAGTTCGTGGGGGTTAGAAGTGGGCGCCGATCTATCCTACTCCAGTTTGGCCTAGGTGACAGAGTCGTGTTTTTCAGTTCTTCGATCTGGAGAACTTTGACATGAGAATGCTCGTACGGCTGTCTGCTTTGTTTTCAACGTATCCTCCTCTCCTCTGTAATTACCCCAAGTACTAGTACTAGTGTGTGTGTGCAATGCAAAGCATGTGGCTCTGCTTTCTTCTGCTCGCCTCAAAATATTCTTGAAGGTTGTTTATATGGGAGAAGGGAAGGGACGGGACAGCAACAGGAAAGGCCATCTCTCTCCACAAGCTCCTTGCCTGCCTGAAATTTGACTATTTGAGCTGCTGGTACTGCCTGCCTCCTTGCATTTCGTGGTTCGCTTCCCTTAAGATCTGAAGACGACGAACCCACAGTTTTAGCATTGTCTTGCGTCTAGTGATCTGCATTCGTAGTACTGCTTCGCCGCAAGTGGAGTTTTATTTTTTCCCCTTTCAGTTACTGCACCTGCAGGTTGAATCGAGACCTTGGCGCAAGTGGCAGAGGTTACGATGTTTTTTTTCCAATAAAAAAATATCACCTTCCAAAGCTGTTTGCATTGTACCAAATTGCATGCAATTGTCTCGACTGTTACCCTGCTAGCTCAGAAATTTGTTGGGCTTCAGTTTACTTGTTCCTTATAAACAATCTACTATCTTTTACAAAGTGAGTTCAGCAGAACGTATTCAGCACAAAATTGGATAAGTCAGTTATTTGCTGAATGCATGTAATGTAATGTAATATAACCTTGACTATTTTAATTGGGGCCTTAGAGTAAGCCCACGAGTTACTGGATATCAACATGGTACATGGACATGGCCACAATTTCATCCAAGCTGTACCTCCCATTTTGATGCAGTACGTACACTTTTTTTTTCAGGTGTGAATATTGTACAACCCTTGATTGATCTTATCCACTTAGATTTGAGTGTCGGACTTAGCACAAGTGAAGTCCTTATTTATGACTATTTATCCTTATAATGGTTCCTCATATGATTACATGCTGCCATCAGGATACACTTTATTATCTCCCAATAAAGTGTAGTTCAGTGGCTGGTTACGAGCGGCAGAGTAGTTGTTTCTTTACATGCTTTCAATTGGCTGTTAGTTTCTTTGTCAGTAGTTTAGTTTTACAGTAGTGCAGCTTAGTCATCAGCTAGAACAGTGCAACTTGGACAAACAGTACAGTTTAGTCATACATTTTACATGATTTCAAAATGCTACTTGTAATGTGAAT